GAAGTGTAAACTCCCATTCATCACAGGGAGGTATTAACGCTGAAGCCTAATTATCTTTCCACTGAAATGGCAATAATGTTAACCTTTTCATGGAGTCAGAAACGTCACACTTCTTTGGGATAGGCAAGTGCAGCTATTTCTAGAATGTTCCACCTTTTCTAAAGGCATTCTCCAGAGGAGAAATATTGATGAGCTTGCTCCAACACATACATGGCACCAAGACTTTGGCCCAGAGGAAGCAGTGAATTCTTTGAAGAACTAAAGTTTGCTGTATTTTAAGAATCAAAATAAGAGAAGTGAATTAGTGCTGGTTCAGAGGGAAAGAGAAGTGAATAAAAAGTTTAAGCTAGAGGTGTTTGAAGTAGAGAGGCAATTAGTGTAAATTTCTCATATCATCTAATATTTCTCTAAATGCTAGGTACAACATGAAAATGGATACACAACTGTCAGCAAAACAGGGACATCTGTCTGCAGTTTAACTGAAAGATTTTTGTTTTTGTTATGGCAAAAAAAATTAAGTTTTCTTAGAATAATAGGTCAAAAATGCACCTTTGTTCTGACAATCACATTTGTAGTAAAATGCAAAAAATAGTCTCCCATTGGCTTTTCCCTGTAGTTGGCATAAATATCCAGCACATTAGTCAGAATGAAACTGTCGAAAGTAAGACACAAGGAGAGAATTAGTTCATCATGAAGTGCCTTGATGTGCCTCCTTTCAGAACTTGTCACTCTGGAAAAAAGTCAGACGTGAACACGATTCTTCTGGCCCCAGTGGATATCTAGAGCCAACAGTGGGGTGGTCCACTCTCGACAGGCAATTAGAGAATGCATTGTCTACTGAGGATTTAAGAACAATAATAAAACCAGCTAAAAGTTGGTCTGCTTTATGTTATTACCATGAGCCAGTGATTCTGAACAATTTTAGTATTCACATATTCTTCTCTGAAGGGGTCGTCGATGTCCTATGTCCACCCTGCTCGTTAAGACATTGTCTGGCACTCCAAGTGGGGGCATATGTAGAATAAGCCTCTGATTTTAATATATTCTGAACTGATTCTCTATGTAGGGTAAGGAAGGTCTTAACAGATTTTGTCTAACATTGCCACCAAGTTCTATGAATAATCAAGCTCATTCTTGCAGGTCACTTACTGGGCATCAGGCATTGGCTGGGCTGAAGATACAGTGGTGCGAGACCAGACATTGTTCTTGCCCTTAGGAAGCTTGCAGGCTAGTGGGGGAGACAAAAATCACACCGGTGATTCCAAGGTTGCAACCATATTGAGTCTAAGAAAGACCACAGTGGAGATACTTGCCTTGGACAGAGAGGTTTAGGAAGGCCTTTTTGATGAAGTGGTATGGTATTTCTTCCAAGATCATTAGTCATTCCAGACACCAAGAAACAAGCAAACAAATAATGATAATTTTTGCCCACAAGCAACTAGTTGTGTAATGTCTTAAATCTTTTTTTTTTTTTTGAGACAGGGTCTTGTTCTGTTGCCCATGCTGGAGTGCAGTGGCGTGACCATAGCTCACCGTAGCCTTGAATTGCTGGGCTCAAGCAATCCTCCTGCCTCAGCTTCTTGAGTAGCTATGACTACAGGTGCATGTCACCACATCTGGCTAATTTTTTGGTTTTATTTTAGTAGAGACAGGGTCTTCCTGTGTTGCCCAGGTTTTTTGAATATTTAGGGTAAGATGTACCACAGGTACTACCTCCTAGAGGTTGAGTGTTCCTTATCCAAAATGCTGGGGACTAGAACCGTTTGGGATATCGGAATGTTTGCATTGTATATACTTACTGGTTGAGCATCCTAAATCTGAAAATTCAAAACATGAAATGCTCCAATGAACACTTCCTTTGAGCATCTTGTTGGCATTCAAAAAACTTTGTGTTTTGGGGCATGTTGGATTTCAGATTTTTGAATCTGGGTTTCTCGACCTGCATATACCCCTCCCATAGCTCAGTGGTTCACTCCAGTGGGCCTGGGACCTGGTTAGAGAACATTCTGGCAGCTATGCCAAGGGCCTCCCCTTGATAGCTATAGGCACTCTACTTAGATCAGCAGTTCTCGCCCTTCCTTGCTTCATTACAATTACCTGAGAGCTTTCTAAAAAAAAAAAAAACCACCCGTGTCCAGGCCTCAATTAAAGCAGAGTCTTAGAAAGGGAAGGGGGTAAGACACCAGTATATTACGCCAAAGAAAAAAACCACCCCAAATGATTGTAATATGCAGCTGGGGTAGAGAATTCCTGCCTTAGATGAATGCACTGAATTCCAATTATTCCTGTCATAGTAAGTTAAAATTGCGCATTAAAAACTTCACACTGCAAAGAGGATTACAGAGGTGAGAAGTGTGCATGAGTTCTTATGTTTGCGCACAAAGACACGTGAAGGTGATGGTTCCAGAACTTCTTGCACTTTGTGTGCTTTTCATTTCTGTGGCATGTCGGGGAAACACAGCAAATGGCTGAAGGATGGAATTTCTTGGACTCTGGAGTCAGGGTGGGTGTTAAGAGGGCAGGCCATTCCCAGAGCCATGGAAGTATGATGCAGAGGTGAACATAATGGTTCAATAAAGAAGCAAGTTTTGGGCCTTCTCTCTCTACTTCATAATCTCTCCAATCCCCCTCTCCTTTCTCTTCCATGCTGCTTTATTGAACCTCATAAATTATGCAGCTTTAGATAAAGTCTATAGCCCCTTTGAGAAAGCACATTCAAATCTTAGATAAAGGGATTTTTTTTTGTCCTTTAAACACACAAAAAACATTGTGTGCACCTTACATGTAAGTGAAATGAATGTATTTTTGCCACTAATGTTGAAAATATCCCTAGGCATCTGGTGTGTATGAATGTGTATACATAGTACATGCATAATAAACACATTCCACCTTATGAATATTTATATACAAGATACATATATATTGAATATAGACATACATATGTAAATAGTAGCCCTTGAAAACTATATGCAAAGTGTGTTTCCAAGCATATGTATCATAGTGCATCAGGAATATAATAAAGCTACTACCAAGTTTAGCATATTTTGAGGTGGCATTTTCTACAGAGTTGTTTATGGTAGGGTCTACTTACTCTCCACGTATGGGTTTTTTCCATCACTTAAATGTTTGTTAAATATCAACTAAAAGCAAGGCACTGGGCATGGCAGAGTAAGAAAGATGAAATTGGTGTGGTCTCTGTCTTTAAGAGACCTGTACCTCACAGAGTGGCTTAACGTTTTGTTATAAAGAATCTAATATTGTCACTGCCTATCGGCATCTTCCTGCTTTCTTACAACTGCCTTTCTTTCATCTACACCACTGCTACCTTTGCCAGTTGGGATTTAAAATGCGACCCTTTTGAGCTATATTAATTTAAACTCTGGCATAGCTGCAAAGTTGTTCTGATGCAGTAAGAAGAAACATCGTTTGTCTCAGTGCCTTGATAGACACTGGACATGGACAACACAGTTTTTTCTCTGTCACATATAGCCAATCCTTTAACTTCATTTTTATTTTAGTCTGATTAAGTAGGAATAAAAAGGTACAATAAAAAGGCACCAAGCCCCAGGGATGCTGATAAATCTCAAAACTGAACCAAAACAGAGCAATCTCTATTTCCCATGAACTTCTCGTAGCCTAAATATTACCGACCATGACATTGCACTTCCATGTAGTTCCCTTCTTGGGCTAGGTAGCAGAAGCTTTATTAAACACAAGCAATACATTCTAAAATGCACAAAATAAGGATCTCTTTCTAAAATGACAAGCTCCAGTATAGCCAGGGAGCCCTGAGTGACACTCATCAGGGCAGATTTTGCTCCATTAAAGGAGAAACAATACATAAGCATTGTCATCTCTGCCACAGAGTATGCTCATTGTTTTCTCCCCCTCAATCCATACATAACAACAGGTAGTTCTCAGCTGTTCCCTTGGTGCCAGACATACATTTTATCTAAAGAGACAGCAGACAGAACTACCTGCTGCTTCCTGTGCGGCTCTCCCTGTGTTTCTCTCCTTTTTCCTACTTTGCTGGGGCTTTTAAAAATCAGCTGGCAGGGAGCCAGGAGCTCATCATTTTAATGCAGTGTAAAATGGAATATGCATAATTATATGCAAGCCATATGTGAGGGAGACAGCTCAGCTGTGAATTTCAGGAGGCCAGAAAAGAGAGAGCAGTTAGGGCTAAGATGAGATGAGAGCAGAGCGGAGTGCAAGTATCACCCAAATGAATGGTTTAATGAGTGTGCTGCAGACACGCCCCCTTTCACCTACCTCTCCCTTCTCTCCAACTCCAAACCAGAAACCGGTGGAGATTAGAAAGAAGACTGTATGCAAGCGGTATTGCTAATGGGTTCTGTTAATGTCTCCATTTAAACTTCAGCTTTCTTAATTAACAGCGTAGATCAAAATAAGCCAGTAACTTTTAATGCAGGTTTTAAATTAAATCTATTTTTTTACTGCATTTGATTGAAGAATCATGGTTCTTACTAGATCACACTCCTTTTAGATCTTTATTTAAAAATGGAGGGGAATCAGTTTATCTCTAATAGTATTACAATGCAAAATATAATTATGCAGATTGCTTTTCTTATGGCCTTGCTATTAGAATTTTTTAAAAGTGCATTATCTAGAGATTGCTTAAGCATGCCAAAAAGTTTAAACACGTATGTATGTCATATAATCCTAAATGTGCAATGAACAATGCGCACTGGAAAACTATGGTGGTGGTAATTGCCAACAAAATTATTTGATCTTGGTTTGCTTGATATTGTTTTAAATATTACACCACAGTGAATTTGCATGTTCAAACTAAACAATGTAAACAAAAATAAATCCCAAATTTCGATACCTAAAAGGCGTACTGCGTATTTAAACAAACTTCTTAATATTGTTGTTATTTCTGGATTCCCGTTTGTTTAATGATCTGAGCTGTTATGCTTTTAGCTTTTTTTCTTCCATTATTTGTAAGTCCCTAAATAGGCCATTATATTTCCCTTCAGGCTAGAGATGAAGATGGACATGCTGAAAATTTTCCCCAGCAGCACTATGCTAAGGAAACTCCAAGGCTTGCCTTCAAGAATAACTGCGAACTACTTGTAAGAATAACATACTTACAACAAGTCTAGAATGTTACTTTAGCACAGTGAAAACAGTTTTTGAAAGGGTTTGTTCATGATTACATAATTTATGAAATATTATAGTTTTCTGTATGGATTTCTAAATGCTAATTCTGATATCACTGAATATTAATTATAAGATCTCAAATTGTTTGCAAATCTTTTATATCTGATTATAGAGCTTGAATGGCCCTGTCTTTATTAGCTTGTTTTGTTTAGTAGTTTATAAGCAGCCACTTGGAGAATGGCAAGTAAAGTTAAAAATATAGAGAAAGACAGTTGATATATGTAGCTTGTGAAAAAACAACCTCACCCTCACCCCTCCTCCTACGTCCTCATTGTACACTATTTTAGGAGACAACATGGTAATATTTTGTTCTGCTAGGGAAGATAGCAGAGTTGACACGCAGTACTCCCTTTAGAATTCAAGTATTCCTCCACTCTCTTGCCAAACTTAATCGTCTCTCCTATGCAGAAGGAGTCAAAGCAGTGACAGGGTGCGGGGATGTTTACAAGTCGTGAGAGAGAGGATATCAGCTGTGACATTGAGACTCTGTTCCAATGCAGGGTTAATTTGCTGTTCATTTTAACATTTACAGCCAGACAAGATGAAAAGCAAGCAGGAATGCCTATTATATTTCTATTAAATGAATCTGTTGGGACCTAATGTTCTTGATTAGCTTTTGAAAATGAGTGCTCTGCAATGCATTTTCTGTTTACCTAAAGTAAACAGAGAATGAATTGTCATTTATTTAGAGATTCAAACAGTCCCTTTAAAAATGAAGCTTTATGAGGGATCTAGCTATGTTGTCCCTAAATGTTCTTTTCTGTTCAATTGCATTAAAGCAAAACATTTGCTCCAACTAAATGAAAACACTGAAAGAGAATGAGGATGCTCAGTTGTTACATTTTGAGGTAGTCTAATTTCTGTTTAGTTTTTTGGCCGAATATAGTACAGCTCTGCCAGGTCTCTGCATTAGGAAATCCCACATGTAACAGTCTTTGGATTTAGCTCTGATACCAACTGTTCATTAAAAACAAAGTGTCCAAAGAGCAGGAGGAGAGACAAAAATACAGTTCTTACCCATTCTAGCCGCAGTAGCTACATGTGGACAGCAAGAACCTCCTTCCTTCTACAGTCTGCACAGTTACAGTTGCACTTCTCATTCTGTGTGTGTAGTCCCCTGACCAACAAATCCACAGGCAAATTTGCTGCTTATAAATGTAATTTTTTTCCTGAAAATTTATCTTACTTTACAGTTTATCTTAGGATTCTTAAGCTTCCAGTACTGCTAGCATTACCTATTCTGAGGAAACCCTTTTTGTTCATTTCAGTTTTAATGTTTGTCTCTGTAACTATGACTGTTCAGCAGAAGACCACAGAGGCCATTATGCTGTGTTTTGGTATCAGAATGCTTTGGGGTAGCTTACTTCTTTTTAGAGAAATTGGTAAAAGTAACATGCCATATTTAATTTTTGTCTATTTGTTGGAAAAATGAACATGCTTGAGTCCTGGTTGTGGTCAGTTTATACTGGAGGAAGCAAAACATGTATGTGAACATCTCTTTTAGCTATCTTTGGAGAAAATAGATGTTTTGTCATTGCTGTGCTTAAACACATTGTTGTGTTGGCAGTGGTTTTGAGCAATTTGGTACAATCTTCATCCTTCTAGTCACTGTGAGAAATGTTTTATTTTGGTCAGTATACTTTCCTGTGATAAAAGAAAGAGGAGAATCAAAATAAAACATAAGTAAGCTTATTTCTCCAAGGAGAAATTTAATTTTTTTCAGCTGTAAGAAAAGTGATGGTGTTTGGCTGGTTATGAAGCCCTGAGAAGTTATGCCTCTATGTGAAAAAGACTTGTTCATTCATAAGAGAGAAACAGGAAATCCTTGGAGTTTTCTTAGTGCAGCTTAGAGCAGATTTTTAAAGAATCTGTCAGAGAAGATTGCAAGCTCCACTCCAAAGTGCTTTTTTAGCTGAAGGGTGGTTCTGCCATCTTCTTGCGTGGATTGCTGCAAGAGCAGTAGCCAGTTTAGAAAGCGTGGGAGCTCTGGGAGGAGAAAATATTGAGGGCACAGGGTGCTTCCAGGCCCCCAGAATCAGGAGCATGTGGCCGGATGACTAGTCCTCTGTGCCACAGGCACTGACAGAAAGTGCCCTGGCCAGGTAGATGGGACATTGCCTTGACTTTATTACTGACTCTCTATAATGTCTCTGCCTGCTCCCTGCCCCCACATGCCTGCTTCTTGGAAGAGGGAGGAATATTAAGTAACTTAAACAAAAGCAAAGCAAAATCGATGCCTGGAATACACAAGTATGTGTAATCAGAAGGCACTGACAAAGAAAGCATTGGCTAATAGAAAAATCTGCTATGCAACTGTAGATTTCCTGTAGGGTATTGATTTTTCCATTTAAATCCCAAACTGTGATATGTGCCTTCACACTTAATGTACAACACAGATGACTAGATATTTAGCTTTGTGGCCAAGATCCTTTAGTTTGTGATTGTGCAGCAGTTTCCTTATGCTTTTTATTAATTTTGAAAATGAAAGCCTGTCAAGATGAGTGACATTAGATAAAATGAGTACTATTTGATAATGTCACAATTCAGTGTGGCCCCACCTACCTCTTCATAGATAGGCATACACATTTGCACCCATGCACGTGCATGTGCACACACACGGGCATTTTGCTGGCATATCTAAGTTTATGACAAAAGAAACAACTTTCAATAAAAGAAAATGTAATGTTAACACTAATGTTAACACTATAGCAACCTGGTTTACAAGAGCCGGGAAAAGGGAATATTTAGAGCCAGCCATGGGTGAGACTAGCCCTTGCCCCAAATTCCAACTCCATTCTTGGTCCCTTTATCATTACCGCCTGTTTCTTCTGGGACTGGAAGACTTTCCTAAATTCAAATGCTTTTATCTCTGGTGAGAGGTGTGTTCAGAGCTGGAATGAAGAGGACCATAAGCATGTTATGAGCTCACTCTTGCTCCTCAGCCATGACTTTCTCAGTTTTTGAAAGCCACTGAGAGTAAGACCTTGCAGAAATATAGCATAAGCTGGGTCATTGGAGGGGAAAGACCTGTATCTAGAAGAGAAGGAAAGTTGAGAGGGTTTTGAGAAGGAATGGAAGACTTCTGAGCCTACTCTCCAAGTTTTCGTAAGACCAATGCAGACAACATTCCTGTGTTCAGGAAGAAGGTCAAAATATAACCAAAGAATAACAGCAACTGATGGAGTATTATTTGGTTGGAAAAAAGCCAGGCTTAGGAAGTTTGAAAGGGGAACTAAGAGAAAGGAAACTCAGGAGGGTAAAATCAGCCTGTCTCCCTCAGTTCCAGATTCCTGAGTCATCACCTAGACAACGTCTGAATCCCTTTGGCTTTTCCTCAGGCTGTTAGGGGTGAGGGTTTTACAAAGGGAAAAGGAGGGAGTTTACAGCTAGGAGGTGAAATAAAAATAGCATCAGGGAAGAATTCTTCCTGGTCACTTATAGTGCCATTGTAGGGAGAATATGAAACTATTTTAGTTTTGTGGCTGTGTGATCAGAAGTGATGAGAAGAAGAGATGCTTATGCTGTTTTTCTGTGGGCTGATTTTTCCATCTCATTTCTTTGTGGACATTGACAGGTGGATTATAAGAGTTGCATGTAGTCTTTCGGCAGTAGAAATACCCAATGCTAATCCAGTGTTCCATAAACCTGACATTATTGAGCATCTTCTATGTATAAGGCATTGTACTAGACAGTGCAAGTAGGGACACAATATAGATAATGACACAGTCCCTTTTCTGAAGGAGCATGTAATTCAGTAGGAGAAATAAGGCTCATACAGTATCATTGTCATCAACAATGTAGGCTCTCAGGTCTTGCCCCAGGTAGACTTTATACCCTGTCATCCTGGTGTTATAGCTAAGGATCATAGGCACAAAGGTGTAACATTTATTGTAACGTATCTGATATGACATCACACTTTGGATCCCTGTTTCACTCCTTTGGACCTCTCTGGGCTTCAGATCTTTTGTTAAATATGATAATAAAAGGAGATAACCTCAGAACATATCATAAGGATAGAAAATTATGACATATTTAAAGAGCCAGGCACATAATAAGCACTCAGTACATACTAGCTGCTGTTATTATCATCTTCTTATAGTCATGATTGTTATTACACAGTGAGCTGTGCCCCAAAAGAGCACTAGGAAAGTTCTTGGAGTACAGAGGAGGAAGAGATTATTTCTGTATGCAGTTATTAAAGACTTAACAAGGGAGGATACCTTTGATCCAGGCCTTACATGGATTGGATTTGGAGAGTGGCAGGAAGTGTAAGGGAAGGGAGTGTTCCCAACAGAGGAAAATAGCACAGGCATGAAGGTGGGAAAGTATGGGCCAGGTGCACCGCACTCTGGTCAGTATCTAGATTGGCCGAGTGTAGAGTATCCGAAGGCTAAGGGGTGAACAGGCAGGCGGTCCCATCTGCAGGGGTCTCAATAACTGACACCATCCTATCAAGTCTGGATTTTAGTAATTCTCCTTCATGGGAATTCCTAGCATGTTTGTGGATTAAAAGCATTATTATGGAAAATTTCTAAGTATACAAAATTGAAGTAGTGGGAGTCATATAATGAACCCTATGTATCTTTTACCAAGCTTCAACAATTATCAACTCAGGACTAATCATGCTTCATTTTCCTTCCCCACACCCCCTCCCCCACCACCTTTTTTTTTTTTTTTTTTTTTTTTTGCTGTACTATTCTGAAGTATATATGCTTCAGCTATGTCTGCTGCTTTTGTGAGGGACACATTTGGTTTTTTGGTGTTTTGCGGGTTTTTTTGGTAAAATTTTTAGGATCCCTCTTTTCTGGCTAGAAAGAATCCATTGATACTGATTGAATTGGGAATTGGAGCTTTGGGACAACGCATACATAAAACAAATGACTCTTGGTTATATATTGTGCTTTTCTTTCCC